CGAAGACTACTGTTGGAAGAGAGGTGCCTCACGTCGCGAGGGGACGGCGACGGCCTCCCTCGAGCTGAGGTGATGTGCGTAATTAACACGTTCTCAACACGTTTTTTTTTTTTTTTCCTACATCCTAAAGCGTTGCTTTGCTTTTCTGCAGAATCTGACGCGCACGACGCACGGCGACGTATGGCGACGGCGACGAATGGAGAGGAATGCCGCATGGCGACGGTCCTTTGGGCGGGACCACGGTGCTTGGCGGTGCTTCTCCCTGCCGTTGCTTGGTGGTTTTTCCGTCGCTCTACCGTCGGCTTCCGTCGCTCTTTCGTCACTTCGTCCGTCGCGCGGATCTCTTCGCTCAAGCCTGAGGTAACGTGTGAGGTCAATTTCGGCAGATTCTTTTTATTTTGTTCTCGACGGTTTCGTTCTGATTCTCCTTCTCCTTCTCAACGACTTGCAGAAGGTGACCGTCAGCCGGCGTACGGGTGGAGACGACGGATGCTGATGCGTGGAGACCTTGGCGCGAGGCACGGCGACGCGTCTTCGTCGCGCCTCGTGGGCGCACGACGTGTCTGGCGGGCGAGAGGCGTGTCTCACGGCGGGACTCACACGGCGCTTCTCTCTGCGCTTGGCGGCAACATCAACGTGGTAAGCATCACTTCCCGTTTCCTGCTTTCGTTTTCTTCCAAAAAATAACTTTTTTTCGTGTGATTCGTCTTAGTGCAGCCAGGAGGAGCGTGAGGGGGGGCAAACGCCGCAGGCGGCGACAAGGGACAACGGCTGCAGCCTTCGTTCTCTCGTGGTAAGTATCAGTTTCAGTTTCCTGCTTTTGTTTTCTTCCAGAGACTAACTTCTTTTCGTGTGATTCGTCTTAGTGCAGCCAGGAGGAGCGGATGTCATCAGGTTCAACATTTAACATCTCTTTTTATGTGTAAGCAGCTCCATAAGCTTGTAACGCCCAGCATTTCATCTCTTCAAACCTTTGACCACCAAAATGAGACTTACCACCATGAGGTTGCTGTGTAACTATAACGGCCGATAGCTTAGTTACACAGCATCCTCTTGGTGGTAAGTCCCATTGTGACATTACAAGCTTTTGGAACTGCCTTCACATTACAAGAGATGTTCTTTGTTAAATCTGATGACCTCTCCGCCCCCCCTTCCGCTCCACTGGCCCATCCGGCGACAACGACGACAACGGTAAAAATCCCGGCGGCTGCAGCCTTCTTTCTCTCGTGGTAAGTATCAGTTTCAGTTTCCTGCTTTTGCTTTTCAAGGTTTTAACTTCCTTGTCTGCTCCGTCTTAGTGCAGGAGCGGCGTTACCGGGAGGAGGAGCTCGCGGGGCCGGCGGCGAGCAACGGAGGTAACGCGGGAGGTGGTCTCCCTTGCCTGGTAAGTGCCGTCAGATTTCGTTAAGTTTTTTCTTTGATTATGAAACTAACTTATTTTTGTGTGCGTTCTACTTTAGCGCAGGCGATGCGGGGATGGGAGCTCGCGGGCCGCATGGCGACGCTTCTTCGCGGCATCAGAGCACGGCACAGCGCGGCTCACGGTGCGTGACGGCGCTTCTCTCTGCTGTGGTGGTCAGTTCGTCCCGTCGTCTCTTCACCTTTCCGCTCGTCGCATTTTGCGCTTCTCTCTCTGTCACGCTTCCGCACGTTTCTCGCTTTTAGCGCGCTGTCTCGTTTTCAAATTGACTAAATGTTTTGTTATTTGTCGGCTGTGCTGCAGGCACGGTAAGTTGGTCTCGAGGGAGGCTCCACACGTGGGGCGCGGTGAGGAGCAAGGAGGAGCAAGGTGGAATCTGGCTTCCCCTCCCAGCCCGCCCTTCCTGCAGTTTTGGCAGGGGCGGGAGCAACCAGCGCAAGCGGGAGCAACCAGCGCAAACGCCAGGCTTGTAAGAGGTGTGCTAGTGGTTACAGAACGATTAGGAGCGTTAGACAGATTCGATTAGGCACACAACACGGGCGATGGTATGGGTGGAGCGTTAGACAGACTCGATTAGCCACACACATGGGCGATGGTATGGGTGGTGAAGGTGCGTTCAGGTATGCATCATGACGGCTGGTCGTCCTCTTGACGGCTGGCCGTCATTCTGACAACATTGTATTGTGACGTCATTGTGAACCTATCGTCATTTTCATCTGCCCGTCATTTTCTCTGCCCGTCCCTAATTTTAATCGTTTCCCCCCTCTCCCAAGCACTTTTCTCCCCGCCCCCCCCCCCCCCCCCCCCCCTCCCTCCCAAGCAGACCCCACGCGAATGACCCTCACCTCAACGTGGTGCGTGGGTGTAACGTCAGGGGCATTTGCTTCTGACGGCCAAGAGGGGTCAAGAAGACTTTCAAGATCCGAAGATACGAAGATCAGAAGAGAAGACTAGAAGATCAAGCTGACGGCCAAGAGGGGTCAAGAAGACTTTCAAGGTGCCGCTGTGGATGGTGAAGAAGAAAACAAGATAAGAAGATCAGAAGACTAGAAGATAAGATATTAAAGCTGCTTTGGAGTCAGGCGCTGCTGTGGAGGCTCAAGTGGATCTGACTTGGCTTAGAGAGCTTAGATAGCTTAGCAGCGACTCTCGATTCTGACTTGTAACTCTCGATATAATGAATTACTCTCTGTACTTTCGTATGAATGGCACCTTGGACAGAGTTCTGTCGTGAAACTTATTAGTTGAAAAATATGGCAAGGACATGAGAGTTACGCTTTTCGTAGTTTTTCCTGAGTTCTAACTCCAAACCTTGCGTCTCCAGCAGCAATTACTCTCGTAGATGTGGTGACCATTCATCTTTGTATACTTATTTGCAGGCTCTGGCTGCTGGAGATTCGATATTAGTACTCTCGATAATTTTGACCTTAAAAAACTCGTTCGCAGAATCCGGTAAGACTTCCCAAGCTATTGCTTGACTGACTGGGTCCAGGTTACGGTACATCCTCAAGTGTTACAGCTAGAATGAGTTACGACACGGCCGTTGGTTCCGTCGCGCGGCGGAGCGATCTGACGATCAGCGCAACTTTCAGCGTAGATATCAGCGCAACGACTGGCGCAATGTCAGTGCCACTAATAGCGCAAGCAGCAGAACGATCAGCGCCTCGCTCAACCCAGCGGTCAGCGCAACGATCGGCGCAACCATCAGCGCAGCGATTCGCGAAACGACTGGCGCAACTGTCCGCGCAGCAATCAGCGCAATCCTCGGCTTGACGGATCGGCGCAACGACCATATCAAGGATGCGCGCAGCGAAAGAGACGTTCGACGGTCATCGCCTTGCAGTTTAGATCTGTAACAGTTTTCATGATTCCTACCTTTCTCATGACCTTGCATCTTATGGCTTCCCCAATCTGCGGCGTAGTGCCGCGGAATGCGCATTGCCGTCCCCAGCGACCCCCCCGCGCCTTGAATCCCGCTACACTCATGCTCCCACTCTCACTCTCTGCCGCAGTCAGCCTGACTGCCTTGCTGGCGATGCAGCCTCCAGTGCTATGAGTGTCCGTTGCTCGTTGTCACTCTGTCATGGGCATTCTGACTGTCATTCTGCTATGAGTGTCCGTTGCTTGGTCCTAACTGCCATGCTGTCGCTGGGGCAGCCGCCTGGCTCCGCCATGGGCGCTGTGGGGACACGTCTCATGGCCGAGTTTGATGGGCCGAGGTGGGGAGGTGATGCATGCGGCCCCCAGTGCTATGAGTGTCCGTTGCTTGTTCCTGACTGCCATGCTGTCGCTGGGCACTGTGGTCGCTGGGGTAGCCACCTGGCTCCAAGTTTGATGGGCCGGGGTGGGGAGGCGTCAAGTCATATCACCAGGGGCACTGAGATGCCATCACTTGCGCTGACTCACCCAACCTCCACCCGCTCCCTCCCTTCGCTCTCCCTCCCTCCCTCCCTCCCTCCATCCATCCCTCCCTGCCCTCCCGTCTGACTGCATCGTCACCACCGGCACCCCCGACAGCAGTGCGGCCTTTCCCCCTCTCCCCCATCACACACTCCCCATCTGCACCTGCTCCTTCCCTCCCTCCCTCCCTCCCTCCCTCCCTCCCTCCCTCCCTCCCTCCCTCCCTCCCTCCCTCCCTCCCTCCCTCCCTCCCTCCCTCCCTCCCTCCCTCCCTCCCTCCCTGGCAGCCCTCCCGTCTGACTGCATCGTCACCACCGGCCGGCACCACTGACATCAGGTTGGTGCGAGAGCAGGTTGGAGCAGGTTGGTTCTGCTTTTGAGTCGACTCAAAAGCACCACCGACAGCATTGCCAGAGCACCACAGGGGAGGAGGGGGGGGGGGGGGGGGGAGGGGGCGAGAGCAGGTTGGTGAATGGCAGTGGGGGGGGGCGACTGGAAGCAGGGCATCAGAGGATCGAAGCTGGGGTGAATGGGCGCACCCCTCTGTGGCACACGGGCAGGCGAGCAGGCTGAACTGATGGAGAGGATAAGAGGAGTGGCGGAGGGGTGAGGGTGAGGGTGAGATGGGATGCATGTGGAAGAATGTGAACAGCTGGATTCACTATCCATACTTCATAGCTCTGGCTACTTCACTTTTGAGGCGCCTCAAAAGGGGTCCTGGCTGCTGGTGGTGGTGCAACAAGAGATGGGATGCATGTGGAAGAATGTCGCCAGCTGGATCCATCCATTATCCATACTTTATAGCTCTGGCTGGCTACATTAGGGCATTTGTCCTCGGAGGGCAAGGGCAAGAGAGTTGTGTGGGCAGGGGCACGTGTTGCCTACTCATTCACGGCTGAAGTTTAAAATGCTGGTACGGTAGAAGCCAACTTGTTGCCAAGTGATTCGTTCAAGTTTGCTTGGGGTTTTTTTACCCCTGCGGGAGAGCAGACACGGTAGCACCTTCACTAAACCTTCAAAAATAAATACAAGCACAAGCACAAAAGGGAAATATGAACCATTTGGACATTGGTAACTGGAGCATTGCTCGCTGTTGTTCTTCTGCTAAAAAATTATCCTAGCCTAGTCCCATGGCTCGCCTAGTCTCATGGCTGGAGGCAACTGGAGCATTGCTCGCTGCTCACTCTCTTCCCCCCTCCTCCCCTCCACTGCCCCTATCATCGCCCCTCCTCCACACCTTTCTCTCACTGCGCCTCCCTTCCCCTCCCCTCCTCTCCCCTCTCCCTCTCCCCACGCCTCCCCTCTCCCCCACCTTTCCCCCACCCCTTCCCCCTTCCTTCCGCCGCCCCCCCTTCCCGTGCCGGGTGGCAACGGGCGGCAGCTCCTCGTCTGGTCCTAGAGGGAGGGCGGCGCCTGTCTGTGCTTCAAGGGTGCTCTTGAGTTGCTGTAGAATGCGAATCTGAGCTAGCTTTTGGGGGGAGAGCAGGTGCCAGTAGATGCCTGCAGGGTGGAAAGGGGTGGAAAGGGATGGTGAGGGGTGGAAAGGGAGGATAAGGTGCTCTGAATTGGTGAAAACAGGGTGCTTTTGAGTTGCTGCAGGATGGGAATCTGAGCTCGTAGATGCTTCCGGGGGGACAGAAGGGGCCAGTAGATGCTTGGAGGGGTAAAAACGGGTGGAAAGGGGTGAAAAGGGGTTGTGAATAGGTGGGAGAAGGTGTTATTGAGTTGCTGCAGAATGCGAAACTGAGGCAGGTCTTGGGTGGAGAGAAGATGCCACTGGCAAGGAGAGGAGAATGACACTTGCAAGGAGAGGAGAATGACACTTGCAAGGAGAGGAGAATGACACTTGCAAGGAGAGGAGAATGACACTTGCAAGGAGAGGAGAATGACACTTGCAAGGAGAGGAGAATGACACTTGCAAGGAGAGGAGAATGACACTTGCAAGGAGAGGAGAATGACACTTGCAAGGAGAGGAGAATGACACTTGCAAGGAGAGGAGAATGACACTTGCAAGGAGAGGAGAATGACACTTGCAAGGAGAGGAGAATGACACTTGCAAGGAGAGGAGAATGACACTTGCAAGGAGAGGAGAATGACACTTGCAAGGAGAGGAGAATGACACTTGCAAGGAGAGGAGAATGACACTTGCAAGGAGAGGAGAATGACACTTGCAAGGAGAGGAGAATGACACTTGCAAGGAGAGGAGAATGACACTTGCAAGGAGAGGAGAATGACACTTGCAAGGAGAGGAGAATGACACTTGCAAGGAGAGGAGCATGACACTTGCAAGGAGAGGAGCATGACACTTGCAAGGAGAGGAGAATGACACTTGCAAGGAGAGGAGAATGACACTTGCAAGGAGAGGAGAATGACACTTGCAAGGAGAGGAGAATGACACTTGCAAGGAGAGGAGAATGACACTTGCAAGGAGAGGAGAATGACACTTGCAAGGAGAGGAGAATGACACTTGCAAGGAGAGGAGAATGACACTTGCAAGGAGAGGAGAATGACACTTGCAAGGAGAGGGATGGATGGATGGTGCTGAGTCGACTCAAAAGTCACCCAGAAGGCAAAGCAGGTGGACAGCAGACGATGCCTGGAGGCAGTTAGGGGATAACAGGGGTGGATGGAGGTGCCAGGAACAGACTAGCCTAAGCTCCGCCTACAAGAGATTTGAACGAGTTAGCTCTGCTGGATCTGGGTCGAAACTTTCTTCCTAGGCCAGGAATGGACCCTCCTGCCCACACATCACTGAACCATCTCACCTGACGAGATCACCTGAGAACTTTCACCTGAGGACAAACCTGATTACTTGAGGGCTGTCAGCTGAGGGCTTAAGGATCTTAGAGGAGACTCGGATGATCTGTGTGGGCGTGCAGATGATGTCAACCGGCGGGTCGTGCCGTGGTTGTGGGCACATCTGAACTCATGGCAGGTCAGACCAAAGGCAGCTTACCTGAGGGTTTGGGTATCCTGGAGGAGACGCGGATGATTTGAGTGGGCGTGCAGATGATGTCGACTGGCAGGTCGTGCTGCCTGAGGTTGCTGGTGGGGATGGCGCCTGCTGCAACTAACTGACAGTCATGTACTGATGGGTGGGATTGGGGTCATGGGTGGGATAGGAGGTACAGGTGGGGGGAATGGGTAGGGAGAATGGAGTTTCATAGCAGTCACAACACAACGCACAAGGCACAGGCACGGCAGATGATGTCTACAGGCAGGTCGTGTGGACTTTTGAGTCGACTCAAAAGGCAGGGCAGATGATGTCTACAGGCAGGTCGTGCTGCCTCAGCTTGCTGGTGGGGATGGCGCCTGCTTGCACTAGCTGACAGTCGTGCACTGGAGTGGTGGAGCAAGGGTGAATCACAGAGCAGTCCAAGGGGAATCATGTTCTGCTGCTTGCTCTCTCTACCACGCTTGCTCTCTCTACCACGCTTGCTCTCTCTATCATGTTGTGCAAAGGCTTCAAATGCTTCGTGACTGCGTTTTGAGTCGACTCAAAACACACCTACCACTCATGGCGGTTGTGCAAAGGCTTCAAATGCCTCGTGACTGCGTTTTGAGTCGACTCAAAACACACCTACCACGCATGACGGTTGTGCAAAGGCTTCAAATGCCTCGTGACTGCCCACCACATGCCTCGTGACTGCCCACCAAATGCCTCGTGACTGCCCACCAAATGCCTCGTGACTGCCCACCAAATGCCTCGTGACTGCCCACCAAGTGCCTCGTGAATGCCCACCAAATGCCTCGTGACTGCCCACCAAATGCCTCGTGACTGCCCACCAAATGCCTCGTGACTGCCCACCAAATGCTTCGTGACAGGGACATTCGAGCTACCTATGGACACATCTCACTGCCCACCAAATGCCCACGGGTCAAACCAGCAGTGACCCACCTATGGAAACACGCGTGCTTTCTCCCTGTCTCAGAACTGTCATGTAGACTCAAGGCTCACCAGTGGTGACCACAGGCGTGTCGTCCGTGACTGCGCCCATCCACCTCAGAATGCCGTACTCCAACTCTGCAAAGCCCTGTGAGGTGTGGTGGGGTGCGGCAAGAGCAGGTAATGGTGAGCAAAGGAGTGTCGTCCATAACTGCCCCCATCCACCTCAGAATGCCGTACTCCAACTCTGCAAAGCCCTGTGGATTGGGGATTGACGCATGGGTGTATAACACAGAGGAGGGAGTAGCACACGGTGTTGTGCGGTAAAAGCAGGTGGTGACCTGAGCACATGATTCTTGTCAGTGGCTGCCCCCATCCACCTCAGAATACCATACTCCAAATATGCTAAGCCCTGTGACTGGGGGATTGACGCATGGGTGTATCACACACAAGGACTGGCGCATGAAGAAACACTAGGCATATGTTTCACAGGAGGAGCACGCGGTGTGGTGCGGTACGAGCAGGTGGTGGCCTGAGCACAGGATTCCTGTCAGTGACCGCCCCCATCCACCTCAGAATACCATACTCCAACTCTGCAAAGCCCTGTGGCTTGGGGATTGGCAAAAATGGGTGTATAACACAGAGGAGGGAGTAGCACACGGTGTGGTGCGGTAAGAGCAGGTGGTGGTGACCACAGCAGTCCTCTCAATGACTGCAGTCACACAAATGTGAAAGGCATTGTGGGTCAGGGATTAAGCAGAAAACATGGAGAATTCTACAATGCATAAAGCAATGCAGAAAGCAAAGCATAAACATCTCTCCCCCCTCCCCTTCCCCCTCACTTCCTCTCTCCCTCTATGTCCCCCGTCCCCCTCACCTCACCTTTCCCCTTACCTCGCCTTTCCCCAGCCTGGCACCAGTGGTGGGGTCAACAGCAACAGACCCAAGCACCACCATATCCACTGCAACTTGCGTGCTGCACTGCATGGGGCAATGCACGGTGCACTGACTGAGGCAACATATGCCGCAATACATGAGGCAACATATGCCGCAATCCATGAGGCAAAACATCTCCCCTTCCGCCTTCACTCACCTCGCCCTTCCCCAGCCTGGCACCAGTGGTGGGATCAACAGCAACAGACCCCAGCACCACCATATCCACCGCAACTTTGTCCTCTAGCGCCACCGGCACTCCGTGCCGAGCCACACCGGCCGCCGTGCAGGCAGCAAGCAGCTGGTCGGGCGGGATGTGATCGGCAGAGAGGCGGGAGAAGAAACCGGTCCGCAGGCGCGGTTGGGGGGTCAGCAGGAGCTTGTTGCCTGTGGGTGGGAAGTCGGGGCGGGGTGAGGTAAGGGGAAGGCAGCAAGCAGCTGGTCAGGCCGGATGTGGTTCTTGGAGAGGCGCGAGAAGAAACTCGTTCGTAAGCGGGGCTGGGGGGTCAGCAGGAGCTTGTTGGCTGGGGGGAAGGAGAATGGTGGTGGGGAACAGTAAGGGGAGGTAGGGGGCCGGGATTAGAGGTAAAGGAATTGGTGCAGGAGAGGCAGCAGGAGCTTGTTGGCTGGGGAAGTAGGGAGGGGGGAGAGTGGGGGGGAGCAGCTGGTCGGGCGGAATGTGGTCTGCAGAGAGGCGCGAGAAGAAACCGGTTCGTAAGCGCGGTTGGGGGGTTAGCAGGAGCTTGTTGCCTGTGGGGGGGAGAAGAGGAGGGGGGGTTTGGGGGGGTGGGGTAAGGGGAATGGGAGGAAGAAGGGGAGAGGGCAGCGGAGAGGCGGGGGAAGAGGCCGGTGCGCAGGCGCGGCTGCTGGGTCAGCAGGAGCTTGTTGGCTGTGGGGGGGAGAGGGTTTGGGGGGACTGAGGTAGTGAAAAGGCGAGGAAGAGGGGGAGTGGGTGGCCGAGAGGTTCGCAGGTGCGGTTGCAGAGTTGGTGCGGGGTGGGGTGCGGTTGCAGAGTTGGTGCGGGGTGGGGTGCGGTTGCAGAGTTGGTGCGGTTGCGGGGTTAGCAGGAGCTTGTTGGCTGTGGGAGAAAGGAGGGGGAAGAGTCGGTGCGGGGTGGGGGAGGTGGAGTGGGGGAGGGAGGGGAGAGAAGATGATCGCAGCCGATTGCAGGCGGGGGAGGTGGAGTGGGGGGTGAGCAGGAGCTTTCTGGCTGGGGGAGTGGGGGAAGGGCGAGGGGGCATGAGGGGCCATGCTTGCAGGAAAAGGGTGAGAACATTTGAACGGCTGCAAGATTCTCTCAACTGCTAAATTGCTAAGCTGCTGCACGCATGCGCACAGCTCACCTTGCAGGGCAGCCAGCCGCACAGCCTTCTGAGGCGTGTCTGGGTTGACCTTCACACACCCTGCTGCTTGAAATTCCGGCAGCGATGCCAGCTGGCAAGGGAAGGGGGTTTGAATGGGGGGTGTGGAGGAAGAGAAGAGAGGCATGTCAGCAAGGGGGTTTGTGATTAAGCCTGTGGAGGTTGGAGGTGAGCACAACACACCTTGCAGCACAGCCCAAGCCGCAGCTGGCAGGGGGGTTTGTAATTGGGGGCGTGGAGGAAGAGAGGAGAGGCATGTCAGCAAGGGGGAATGAAGGCATGAGTGCTGTCACAACACGAGGCACATGGCAGGGCAGATGATGCCGACTGGCAGGTCGTGCTGCCTCAGCTGGCGAGGGGGTTTGTAAGGGGGGGTGTGGAGGAAGAGAAGAGAGAGGTTGTGTCAGCAAGGGGGTTTGTGATTTGGGGGTGTGGAGGACGAGAAGAGAGGCATGTCAGCAAGGGGGTTTGTGACTGGGCGGTGGAGGTTGGAGGTGAACGGGCAGCAGCCTGCCCTGCCCCTTCAAAGCTGGGGATGCGGTGGTGCATGGGATGCGGTGGTGCATGGGGCGCGGTGGTGCATGGGGCGCGGTGGTCACAACACACCATAACCTTCCCCTGCCCCTCCCCCCTTTCCCCCTTACCGCTCTCCCCTGTTCCCCCATTTCCCACGACTCCCCACCCCACCATACCATGGCAGCAGCTTTGTCTGCCCCCTCAAAGTTGGGAATGCGGTGGTGCGCGGGCCTTGGGGGTCAGATTTCGCCACAATGCTACCCACATTCCGCCTCCCCTTTTTTCCCCCTTTCCGCCCCCTCGCGCACCATGGCAGCAGCTTTGTCCGCCCCATCAAAGTTAGGAATGCGGTGGTGCACGGGGCGCGGCGGTCGTGCCACGTCACGCGCCTCCAGCTCGTCCCACACGCCCTTCCGCACCGCCCACTTCCACGCGCCGCCGTCACCGCTCCCGCCACTCCCTCCCGTATCTCCCGCCGCGTTTCCCGGCGCGTCTCCCACCGCGGCAGCCGCTCCCCGGGAGCCTTCCGCCATCGCCGCAAGCGCGAGCTCAGATCGCGCCCTCATCTCCGCCCGAGCCGCGTCGTCAAGCGCAAGCCGCCGCGCCTCCGACTCGGAAGAGCCGGATTCCCCCCCTGCGCCCCCATCGCCGCCTCCTGACTGGAACGGCTCGCGCGAATCGTCTCCGCGGTCAGCCTCCCCGTTAGATGCGCTCTGCGCGCCGCTGCGCGCAACCAGGCGACGGGAAATTGCGCGCTTATGTACTTGCGCGGAGGGGAGATGATTCAGGACGCGGATTTGACGAGAGAACGTTGGCGGAGGGGTTTGGCGGAAGAATTGAGGAGCAAGCTGCGCAGTGAGAATTACGGGGGATGCGGGGAAAGATGCGAGGGGAGGGGATACCGCGGAGAGACGGGAACAGGGCATGAATGGCCGCATTTTGCGGTGAGCGAATGGTTGTCTGACTGTTGGGGCTGGTGGGTCTGATTCGATTCGAACATGTTGGTGGATAGGGGGCCCATTCACAGACGGAAATAAGCTGTACGCACTATGAAATCCTCCGACATTGTTGAGTGAAACAAGATGATTTACTACTTTGCACCATACATAATATCGGAACTCGAGATTTCGGGTTTCTTGTTATCAAGGTTGTGTTACTAGGTTATCGGAGCAGCAACCTGGGTCTCTCTCAAGCGAGTAATAATTTGACATCAAGCCTAGTCAAGGAGTTGCAAGCTTCCCCAGCCGAAGTGATAAATTTTGTCTGGGTGAATCCCGCTTCAAGTATTCAGGCAGGCACTTGCCTAGTTTTAGCGAGGTGGAAGAATCCCGTTCCATTACTTGTACTCGCGGTGTCGCTTGACCGGTTCCAACCGTCACGTGATTTCTCGTCGTGGTTATTCTCCTTCGCACCTGCCAGAACGCTCCCATATGACATCGGAAGCCGCGCCGAGCGCGGCTTTGACAGATTCCGCAGATCATGTCGGAGATTCGGATCATGTCGCTTGCACCGATGGGATCGCCACGACGGAATTTCCTGATTTTAGGCCGGGAACATTGGAAGAGCACGCGGAGGAATACCATGATGTTCCCTTAGCGGAGGGGACTGTAACGGAGGAAATGAAAGGAATTCCTGCAAGTCGGGGTTCAGGATCGACTGATCCGTCGAAGCGCGATCACGCGAGGACTCCTGGTGTGACTGTACCAGGTTGTGACGGTAACGCGGGTATCGCTGAGACACCCGCGTCACCGCACCCAGCAGCTTTGCATTCAGCCACGTCAGCATCAGCATTATCAACATCAGCAGGAGCAGGAACAGCACCGCAGCCAACCTTATCCGCCGTCAGTTCCTCACCCTCGATATTAGCTGCCGCGTTCTCCCTCTTTCCATCGTCGCCGTTCGCTGAAGAGCTCCCCTCGCCGTTGTCACCCCCGGATCTGTCACCTCCGCGTTCCCCCTCCGTACAGTCACCGGCGCAGGAGGAAGTGGAGCTCGAGGCGCTAGCGGGGACGACAGGGGGAAACGGCGGAGGAGAAAGGCGCGCATCCGCGGATGGGGGGGAAGGGGAAAGGGGGGGAGCCATGCGGAGGGAAGAAGGAAACGGGGGTTTGGAGGGGGATGCGGAGGCGGAAGCGGGAATAGGGGAGGCTGGGGGGGAGTTAGGGGGAGCGGGGGTCCAGTTGGGGTCAGGGGAGGGAGCAGCAGCAGCGTCTGGGCTTGTCTATTGGACCGGTGTAACGACAGCTACAGACCCCCTGGGGAGCGTTCAGTGCCCCAATTCTGATGTTGAGCAGGTGAAGTGCAATACGTGAAGTGTTTTTATCTTTCTGCTAAAGAATCGCTGCAAAATGCAGCATGCGTAGAGTGATTTTCTACTTCAAATTATCTGGAATTTACTGGTGATCAGTCAAACCATTGCAGTCCATCTTTTCCCCCCCCACGCTACCATTCTCAAGGTATCTGGCAAGATTGCCGTTTTAAGATACTTGATTTCTCTTTGTGCCATTGATGCTCATGGTGATACTGATGTATCCCTTTCCCACATTTCCGTCCCTTCCTCTCCGTATCTTTCAGGTCCGAGCCGTGGCTTCCAGGTTACTTCCTGCCATAGCAGCGGCCACAATCGACCAATTAGAGAGCTCGGTAACTCTCTTTACCTCCCCTCCATCCCCGTTAGAAGCAGCAGAGGCAGTCAAAGGCGAGCTGCTCACGTTCCTCGACTCCCGCACCAAGGGCCTCACCGCCGCTGCTGTAACCCCTCCTGTTGCTGTTGATGTTACCGAGGCTTGGACTGGGGTCTGGCACGGGCATGGGGGAGAGGAAGAAGAGGGGGGAAGGGGGGGGAGTGGAGGAGCAAGGGGAGGGGGAGAAGTGGGGGAGGGAGCAGCAGAGGCTGCAGCTAGTAGTTCAAGGAAAGAAGCCTCGGTGTCAGGAGTGCAGCAGGAGAAGCAGAATGGAGAGGAGGAGAAGCAGCCGTTCAACTCTCCTGTGGTTACCACCATCCAGGCTCTTCTAGACGAGTTTGTGGCTCAACGCCAGAGCTTGCTGAGTCGCTTTTCGTCCGCCTTCAGGCGTGTGGAATATACTGAAGATAAGGTTGCATCTCTGGCTCAGCAGTTAGAGGAGTCTGATCTGCTTGACAAGGCTTTAAGGATCAACCTTGCTCAGTCGCTTATTCGCCGCGTCGACGCCGCGGGTACTGCGCATTGCTCGGCGCAATTCGGCACTGTCACGGGGTTGAATTCGCACCAGGAACGGTGCCCGTTTGAGGAGGTCCAGTGTGCGAACGCGCCCTGCTGGGAGCGGGTGTCTCGGTACAGGATGGGCGTACACGATAAGAAGTGCCCCCTTAAGATTCTTCCGTGCCGGCAGGGGTGTAGACTGACAATAGCGCGAGCCGGGATGGAGAGACACTGTGCGACGGACTGTGGGATGAAATCCGTCCCCTGCCCGTACGCCCCTATGGGGTGCACGCTGCCTCTGCTGCAAAAGGACGTGGCGAAGCACTGTAGAGAGCGGGTGGAGGGGCATTTGCGGGCGGCGTGCCAGCTGGTGGTGGAGATGAGGCAGGAGGGGCAGGTTGTAGCGCGACGGCTTGACATGCTGGAGAAGGTGGGATGGTGAAGACCTTTTTTCTCTCCATTTTTTTTTTCCTCTTTGCTTTCCTCTTTCTTTGAGCCCCTTACGAGCTTAATTTTTATCTTATGATTCAGTTGCTCCAACACAACCAACCTTCAGGTTGTTTCACACCACCCCTCTTTGTCTTCCAACCCCTCCCTCTCTCGCCTTCCCTTTGGCCGTTTATTGTGGCAGTCTATATCCCTCACAGAGAGACAAGGGAAGGTGGATGTGGAAACTGTGCGCAAGGAGCTTCAAGCATCCAACAAGAAAGTAACATCACTGGAGCAAGAGTTAAGTAGGGTTCGGGCAGAGGCTAGGAGTGCAACGGCACTGAAGAAAGAGGTGTCTGTGCTACAAGAGCAGCTGAAAAAAATGCAATCCGGAAGGCGAACAGGGTGGTGACGTGGTATGTTGTGTGTTATCCAAAGTAAATAGCATTTGTATTTAGTGTTTAGTACACGCAAAATATTTGTACATTTCCTTATCATTTGCCTATTTGGTCGCACGCGCGAACAAATGGTGCGTGTCACTTGTCCACTTCATTGGGTACGACTGCTTGGTCGGCAAGATCTGTGGAGGAAATCCCGCCGGGCTGAGATGGCCGAGCCTGATCACACGCTTGCCAAGACTTCACGTGGATTCAGTCACACGAACATCATCTCCCACGCAGATCGCCTGTAAAGCGGGCCCGAAAGCGGCGATGCTGACTTGGATCCTACCTGTTTTCAGTTGGTAATCAAATTTCGGCGTCAACCACATCCGTTCTGGGGCAACTCGTACTCGAGTGAAACTCATGCTGCATTCTTGTGTGGGACCGTGCCTGCACACTTACGAAGTGCTTACAAGTAAGGGATTGTTAAGAGTTTCATGCACAGTGTTGGACCTGCTGAATCTAGTGCCCCTTGGGGTGGTCCCTGTGCAAAACATCTCAAGTGTGGGAACTCCCAGGGGCTGGGAGCCGCAGCATTCTCTTCCCATGCATCTGCCCGCGACGCGCAATGTCGACCTCGCGCCGCCGTGTTGCCACGCATGTGAGACCCCAGAGTGACTGGACGACCAAATTCCCTTCACCACCATTCGCGGTCCCTAGCTGGCGCGGTTTTCCGCACTGGCGCTGTCCTGCTTTGTTGGCGAACCCTCCAATCGCCTCTCTTCCGTCAAACCCCCTGCCCTCTCGCCGTTCCTATTCCCTCGTGCTCCTAATCTTTGGTTTTGATTTACACGCCTTTATGATAGGGTTTGCGTTTCTGTAGTTGCAGCGTGAGTTACTGTGATGTTTCTGACGCGCATCTCCGTCCATAGTTGTTCCCTTCGTTCCAGAAGCCATACTAGATAAGGACGAACGACATCAGTGAAGCGCGTTGACATTGAGAGAGTTCGGTAGACCGTTGCCGAGCCCCATTTGTACATAAGCGGCTATACAGAGTTCAGTTGCTTCCCTACTGTCTTGGCGTTGTGACTGAACCATACTCTGGTTAATTCTCGTTCAATTTTGCGGTAAATTACTCCCTCTACCGCTTCTCCGCTTGGAGCATCCGTTTTTATCGTCAAGAATTCTATCCTCATTTTCTCATACCCCACTGAGACACGTTTCTGCCATTCACTGGTCAGAGACTGAACTATCAAAGGAGAAAAAAGCATCCTTATCCGCAGTCACTTGTGATTGTTATCATACCAGAACTTAATCCCCCGCTCTGAATACTCTGCCCTTACAAGGCGCCATTGTAGCGACGGAAACGTATTCTTCTACGTCAGCCTTCCGTCAAAGAACATGTCGTCACCGCTAGTCGAATTTCCCTCGCGGACGCCGACCGCACCTCCGGCTTTCGCGCCGGCGTTTCCGCTCGGCTACCATCCCCATCCGCCTCGTGCTCTCGAGCCGACCAACGATTTTCTCGCGCTCTTCCAGCAGCGCGCGAAAGAAGCTGAGACCGCGGCTCTCCGGGAGAAAGAGCTTCTCGAGGCCGCAGCGGAGAATGGTTCGAGCTGCGACGACGACGATTGGCCGGAATGGTCGCCGACAGCCGCTGACGACGGCGACTGCGACGACGCGTCGCAAGAGGACGACGGGTCGTCGCACAGTCGCAGCAGCGGGAGCAGCGGCAGCAGTAGGATCATCGGCAGCAGCAGCAGCAGTTGCTCCGACGACGATGGGCCACACCACATCCGGCATCTTCAGAGCGAAAACTGCGAGGACCACCGCGGGAACGGGACCGACCCGGAGCGCCAGAACAAGCAGCGTCTCGCGCGCCGAGCCAGCCGCGATCGGTGGAATCTGCAGCAGCTGCTGATCGCGGAGCGCAGAGCACTCGGACCG